CCATTTCTGTCCCATCATAATGTCAAATTTATGTTTCCAGCTTCTCTCACTCTTTTCATGTCATGTGAGTATTCTTAATTATGTACTTGGTACCTTGCCTTTTATGGCTGATAGATACAAGTTTGATAGCACTAAACTGAACCACTGACTGTAAGCCCCAAAGATGCTCTTTCCAGTTCTTCATGACCTAGCAAAGTATCCATTCAATGCTTCAGTCAAAACCAATGATAAAAAATCAGCAAATAATTGATCTTGAATCTGAACTAGAGATTTTTAGCTCTCTATGTTATTTTTACCTTTATAATGTATTTAAGCTACTTATAGTCCTTAGATTTTTTTATTGGTGTTAATAAAAAAAGAAGACTCTGGTGATAAGTAAAATAAATAATTTAGTATTCTGACTTGAGATCCCTCATAAAGACACTTTATTAAAGTCACTGAATTCTCTACTTTTCTTGTTTGTATAAAGTTCTGTTTCTTGGTTTGGCAATATAACCTTAGAATCATTGATGTATTTCCATTGCTTAAAGTGATATTCACCTTTTAACAACCAACCTAAACAAGATGGAAGGAGAAATTTACTACTAATTAAGATACAACTTCTTCAAAAGTTAGTCTGCTCTGGAATAAAGGCTCTAAAGAATACTTTAGAGAGAAAAATATAGATGGGGTTTTTTTTCTTTCTTATTAATATTTAGTTTTTAAATATGGCCAGAATTTTAAGAGATGAGTAACTTTTAAAAAACAGTATGAAATAAAATCCTTGGAGTCTGACTGGAGTACTCTTAATATCAAGAAAGATGGGGTCATTATGAGTATAAATGAAGCTTTCTGTGGAATTTACTTGAGAAAGAAATTTGCCCTAGAGTTGAAAACATTTGATAGAAATATAGCTTCACATTTATTTTCCTTATATGACATCTTAGCTAAGTTCTTTTTATAGTCATCGCTCAATATTTGCTGACATGCAAAACTTGGTTGAAGATTTGTATTTTGAAATATTTCAAATTCTGCAAGGACAGTAAATCTTTTTAGAGCATAGTAATATTTAACAGTGAATTTTTAACCCATCATCTAACAGGTACATTTTAGGATACTTTCTTTATCTTTTCCTAGAAAATAATGTTTATATTTTTATCAATTTATCTGAGAAAGTTTCAAAACACTTATGATTAAATGATTAAATCCTCATTATAAGCTATGACTTAGCTCTCCCTATCTTGTGACTAGAAATTGTAAAGTTCCAGATATGCCATTGTTAAATGCATATTTTATTTATCAAATAAGTAATATATTTACTACTTCTGACAAGCAGCAAAGGTCATTTTAAGACTTTTTAAGTTTGGTTTTTAAAATGTGATAGTAAGTCATTTTTACATGTGAATGAAGAACTCAAAATTTGAATTTAGATATATGTCAGAGCGTGCACTTGTTTTAATCTTGTGTATTTTTAATGAGGTTACCATAGTTTCACTTAATTATAATTTAAGTTACCACCAGCATATTTAGAACTATATTAAGGCACTATCACAGGAAAAGAACAAGAATATGGAAAGCTTACATAAAATTCTTCATAGGCTTAAGGTATTTTCCCCTTGAAAAATTGTTAAGTGTAGGACAACTTATTACAGCTTTTGGTACCAAAACTTATCTACTCCAAGGATCAAAACTCCAATATCAACACAAACAGACATGTGAAAAGCAAGACAAATGTAAGAAAATACGGAGTTGTGGGGACTGTGTTGAACCAGAGAGCAAGTTCTGGGACAAAGAGGAAATGATTGCCTCTTTCCTGCCAAGTGCTGCCAAAAGAAGCAAGCACTGCACCAGTGTGTCCCGAGCCGCTGAATCATCCAGCTAATGCCTGCTGAAACGCTACTATAACACATCAGGCACTAGTCTTAGCACTAAGGGTACAGTGATGCACAAGCCACTCTAGGTTCCTTTATGGAACTTAAATTACAGGCAGAGAAAATGGAAGAGTAATGAAATAATACATACTCTCTTGATTCATAATGATAATACAGTTTGACTATTTGTAATTCAAAAATTGAGACTCCACAGTGTCCCAAAATCTGAAGTTTTTGAGTATAAGACTAAACATCAGAGTGGAAAATTCCACAGCTGATCTCATGCAATGTATGGCAGTTAAGGGTTTTTTAAATTACTCTCAGGCTACACACATAAGGTAGATTAAAGAAATAAGTGAATTTTTACTCAAATATGAAATATAAGGAAATTTATATTTAGACTTAGATTTCATCTCCAAGACATATATTTCATCATACCTCAACAAATATCTAACATCTGAAAAAAAATTAAAAGATTTGGAGCATTTTTGGTCCAAAATATTTCAGATAAGTGATACTCAACCTGTTTATGATAAAAAGGTATTCTAAGAAAAAAGAGTGGTGCGAACTAAGATTCCGAGACAGGGCTAAACTTGTGCTCAAGAAACAGTTAAGAAGCTGGTCTTGGCTGCAGAGAGTGAGGGCACAAATAAGCAATGAAACCAGGGTTGCAGGCAGGAAAAATTCAAGTCACATCATGTGGTACCTTCATGATTTTTATTCTAAATGTAATGAGATGGCTGTTGGTGGTTTTGAACAAGTAGTGTGATTTGGTTTCCATTTTGAGAAATCACTGTAAAATCTTGGTAGGGGTTAGACAGTGGATGGTGTATGTGAAAGCAAGATTAGCGTCCACCAAGTGAGCTATTGTGTTGGCTTGGAGTAAGGTAGTTAATGAAGATGGCAAGGACAAATTGGGAATTTATTTTTCAGGAATCACTGTCATAACAATAATGACAAAAATGATTCTTGGTTTGGGGTTCAGGAAAGAACTAAATGGGACTGACTGTTATTGAAGTATGGAGTTCAGTGAGAAGCAAAGTTTGCTTGGTGGAATAGCAGGATGTGTTAAGAAATCATATTTTATCTTCACAGTTAGATGAGACAAGTAAAAATGGTAGGTAGTGGGTCACTGTAAGAGAATGATTAAAGAAAATGTGGTTTTTATATATAATAAAGTACTACTCTACCATAAAGGATAACTTGAGACATATTTATGTAAGTGGGTGTACCTTGAGACCACTCTTTTTAAGCGAAACAAATTGGACACATGTGTGTAAATATCATGTTGTTTCTGCCTGTTGGTCATTTTGCCTATAACTCTAACCAGATAGAGTACATGTAGAGGTCAGGGCTGGATGGTTACATCTAAGCAATGAATGGGGTCGTCTGGAAAATGATTGTGTTTGGAGGAATTGACAGAGAACTGAGAACTAATATCTAGCAACTAGAATATGGTAGAGATTCAGGAAACACTGAAAATATTCAGGAAGATATGATCAAAACAGGGAGATTGTGATTTCCTAGAAGTCAAATTAAGGAAAGATTGCAAGGAGTGGCCAGGTGTCACATGCTGCTGGGAATGGGGCAGTGTGACAGAATCTGAAAAGGAATACAGGGTTTGCAGAGGGTTATGTTTTCTCTTGATTTTGTTTTTAAGTAATATGCCATGAATTCAACTTTTTGTCATATAGTTCTATCACTTTTAACACATATGTAGTTATATGTAATCACTGTTGCAATCCCAATTAAGTCCAGTATCATCAACCCCCAAACCCCCCCGTGCTATCCAAGATTGCCGTTTCTTTTCCCATGCCTGAATTTTCCGATGGCTAATCTGTGCTTCCTCTCTGCTCTATTTAGGAGTGTTAGCTAAACAGACTCATGTAGTGTAGAGCCTTTAATAAAATGCCTTTGATATTCAATCAAGTTGTTTCTTACGTGAAGAATACTGCTTTTGTTGAGTAGTATTTTATTTTTTTGTGTATCTCAGCTGTTTTATTGTTCACCCATTAAAAGGTATTTGCGATTTGAGCTGTTATCAGTTTTGGTAATTTATGAAGAGTTGCTAAAAGCATTTTTTAATCAATGAACTCCAACTTTTTAAAATTAATTTTATTCGTGTACTTTTGATGATGACATTTACTGTAGGGAATTTGACCTGTACATAATATATATTGATCTTCTTCCTTCCCCCGTTTCTTCCCCTCCCTCAGCCCTCTTTCCTTCCTTGTTTTTCTCCCTTTCCTTTGCCCTCCCACCTTCCTTGTTCCCATTTGAACATTTTCTTCTTCCACTGTCCCAATAGCTATCATCGATTTTGGTTCTTATTTGTGCTTTTGGTTTTTCACACAAGAAAATGCAATATTTAAAAGTGTGTGTCTGATTTTATTTCAGTTAAAAATATGGTACCAAGGTGCATCCATTTACATAAATATGTCTCAAATTTATTTTTCACTATGACAGAGGAGTATCTTATTGCCTATAAAAACCACATTTTCTTTATCCATTTACTTATAATTATAAAACCATTTATATACAGGTGTTTGGTATACTTATGTCTTAATTCTCTTCTGTAAATACTTGGGTCTGGAAAGTCACCAAGTAAGTTTACATTCAAATTATTTTAAAAATGCCAAACTATGTTTGCAATAACTATTATCTTTATTCATGGTTTTAAAATAGAAAAATTTATTTTAGAAGAAAATGTAAAAATACAGAATTTTATGGGAAATTAATAATCAAATTCCATATATCTGGGCCAGTAGTTGTCTAGTCTTGATATAACTCAACCTCTACATTAAGAGTGAGGAAAAATACTACGAAGCAGAGATGTGAAATAGTTTACTAAATTGTAAGGAATCCCGGCTTTAAATTTTATGGTCTTTCTACTACAGCACGCTATCTATTTTAGGATTATTACTCTTGAGTGAGTTATGTTACATTGGTAATCAAATTGTTTTCTATTTATACAGCTTACTACATAGGAAAACTTTTCAGAATTAGAATATTCTCTCTTATTAATTATATTACCTTGGGAAATACTTTTTTCTAATCTTTTCTTAACTTCATATTTTTACACTTAGTAAAAAAAATCCTAACACTACTTATAAATACTCATTATATAATAGTATAGAATTAAGCATTCAAGTGAGAGTACTTGCATTTTCATTTAACTACAGTAATATCATTCAAAAAGAAATTTTAAAAGTAAGTATTAAACTAAATTCAGCTGGCTGAAAGCAATCTGAAAGTGAAAAAATTGTATCGTACAAGTGTACCTGGAGCCCTGGCTTCTAATACCAACGGTGACGCAAGTGTTATTATTAAAGAAATACTTCTATCTCAGGCAGCTTTTCAATTTTCTTCCTGGAAAAAAAATGGACGTTGATTTAATGGACTCTAAGATATTGGCATTATTTTTAAATTCTTTAAAATTTCTCTTTATAAGGATGACAACAGCAAACAAATATCAGGAAAAATGTTTAGTTCTATATAAAGACCTGTGTACCTCCGCTACATGATTCGAAACATAATTTAAAACACATCTACCTAAAAAGTACATTTTAATAGTTGACCAAAATAGCAGTTCTATTCACAATTTCAATTTTTCTTTTTTAGTTTTCTACTTTTGCTCAGTCTTCAACTAGCCATTCCTGAACCCAAAAGTGTTTTTACTTTCAACAGTAAATTGATTAGTACTACTCTTCTTTAGTTTACAGTCACTCAAGATCTATTTTGCAACATCTGCTATGAACTGGCTATGCAGGGTAATCATGGTGTGGTTGGACAAGGACAGTAACAGAGATGCGCGCTGGGTGCTTTTGGAGCACCCAAGGCTACCGTCTGCCTGACTGTGGGAGCCAGACCTTGGGGCAGGTGACCAGCTCTGGTACTGGAGCAGTGATCTAGGCAGTTTCACCGAGCCCCAGAAACCCAGATACTCCTGTCCACTTCTTTCCTATCTTTCTTCTTCTAAAAATTCGAGAGTTAACCCTAGTAGGAAATGAACAAATGTAGACACTCTCAGTAACAAAGGTGTCTCCATACAACACAAACAATATACTGTAATGACAAAACCAGCGGTCAGAGAAAATTCTGTAGCTTAACATTGATTCAAAACATTATTTTATCTCTTATTTCCTCACTTACCAAATCAGTGAATCTCATGCCTTCCTGCTCAAGACAGCTGACATTAATGTGCTTAGATTCGTGCTTACCAGTATACCTCAAATTAGTATTGTAAACCAAGACTGGTAAACTGGTTTTTAAGATAAAATGTTAATATATTAACTGAGGCTTGTGGACACCAAAACTGATTAGCATATCAACAGGGCACAATGTATTCACAATATATTCAATTCGCTGGTTTTATATACACACTTTTGTTCCAAGGCTATTTTTAACTGTAGTTTCATGTACTCAAAGACACTAGGAACAACAGATAACAATGCATGATTAGCTGAGGATAGAAATGTCAGCTGCTCAACAATCTATTTTCTGGTCATTGATTCAATATACGTATTTTTATATCCTAAAAATACTGACCATTCTCTCAGCTTAAGTACAACTGGTGGACTTCCTATATCACTTAATCAACTGAATATGATTTATGCACATATTAGTGTTTCAATATGGGATAGCCATTTATAATGCTTTGTAGCCCTCATATGAACAAAGTGCTGATAAATTTCCAATGAATTGTGTCATCCTCTCAAAAAGAAAGTGAGCGTATTGTTGACATATATTAGAGTTTCTCTTTTGTTATGCTAATAACCCTCTTTTGCTTGTTTTGGAAAGGGATTGAATTAGAAATTGTCAATCGCTGTGAAAAGAACAATGGTGGTTGTTCCCATCTTTGTGAACATGCAGTTGGTAGGCCCCTTTGTTCCTGTAACCATGGACACCAGCTGGATTCAGATGGGAAAACATGCATAGGTAAGTTTGGTAGATGCCTTCTTCATTCAAAAGCTGATCTGAGCCCTTTCATTGTTAATACTCATTACTAAAAGAGCCCCATCTCTTAAACTTCAAGAACTAGATTGAACAGTGTATTTGTCTACTTGGATTAAGGTAAAAAAAAAAAAAATTTGGTGGCAAAATATAACATTACATTTAGAAATTGCCTCCGAATTAATGATTAAAAGTTTTTTAACAAAATATATAGGAAGAATAGCTTTATTAAAAAAAAAAAAACAAAGTCTAATTATTGAATGTAATTTGTATCTCAACAACAGATGTTCTATTTACTCCTATCTCAAGTAGAAACTAACTCACTGCTTTGGTTTTCAACTTAATAATGGTTTGAAAGTTCAACTGGCAAGAACAGTTTATTGAAAGAAAAGGAAAACTATGAAATTATAACCCTTCTTTGGACATTCCAAACTAAAACGATATTAATGGCAACTTTCCCAGTATTTTATTAAAATTTACGTCCTTTGGAACAATGGCCTCCTCTTATAGTGAAATCTTTAAAATACACCTTTTGAATTAAAAAAAAAAAAAGGAAAGGAAAGGAATGTTTAAGTCACCAGAGCAAACATAACAATACATTTTTGTGTACTCTGAATCTGAGGACACTTTCAAGACCCTAAACTGTCTTGAATTTGTCATCACTTAGGGATTATACCATACTTGCTTGTCTTCTGTGATACTTTGTTTCTTAAAATTACTATATGAATGACAAAAACTCATTTGTTTATGTTATGCTATGCAGCAAGTTGAGTAACACTTTAAAGCACAAATAGAGGTGGAAGTTCAATATTTTAAGTATTTGACACTATGATTCCAAACAATGAGTCTCCGTCATTTTTGCAGTAATCTAGTTTATCACATTAAGTTAGCAAAAGCAGTGCTATCATTTGTATGTCTTGGCCAACATTGTTTCTACATTGTTATCAGAGTCTATACAGGTTAACCTACTGAAATCCATTGTTTTTCTCACCTCTTTGTATGTAATAGAAATCTGTGCCTTCCCCCACCTTGTTAATCTTTATGTTTATGAAAAATATTAAAGCCTGCCTTCCTTCCTTACTTTCTTCCTTCCTTCTTTCTTTGCTTCCTTCCTCTCTCTCTCTCTCTCTCTCTCTCTCTCTCTCTCTCTCTCTCTTTCTCTCTCCTTATCTTTTCTGTCTTTCCCTCCCTCCCTCTGTATTGACTCCTCATTCAAGTATTAGCTAAGGGAAATTGAAACTTTACTAAACTTCAGATTTGCAACTTATAATGTGGTGTCTTCTTTTGAAAAAGTAGAATTTAGTAAAATTTTTATTTACAGCTAGAAAAAATAACATCTGTTAGGGTCAAAATGAAAAATGATGCATTTTTATGAGGTATCAGCAATCAACAAGAGAATGTTACTTTGACTATCAAGTTTATTTCATTTTCCTACAGTAAAAATATATTTATTTCTAAAGACCATATAATCATAGTGAAAAGTCACTACTTTATTTGGAGGGTCCATGTAAATGCTTTACTTATTTGCCTAGATTAAAGTTATAGATGCTTTGTAAAAATATTTTTCATGAAGAAAATGAAGGAATTTTTTAGCTTATTTAGGTATCAATTGTTTTTCAAAATAAGACAGTATTCCAAAAATATGTCAACTAATCTGCAAGTTGTCAGTTGGTCTTGACCAAATGCAAAAACTCATTGCTAACACCTAGATGTCTGTGCACCACAATTTGAAAGAAAGCTACAGATATGTGAAATGTAACTCTTTTTGACAGGCAATAAATTCAGTACATAAATTCATTTAGATGCTTTTCTGAGATCAGAGCAGAAATGGTTAATGTTTTGTCTGACTATAATTGGTGGTCTACTCCCACTTAATGCTAAATTTTCATGTACAGGTAAATGGTCCAATATGTTTCCACATCATTCAGTACTTGACATATTGACCAAGTTAGATAAAATATGATCTTCAAAAGAGAGTAAAATTAAAAGGGAAAATAGGCGATTGAAGATTTCAGCAAATGACATCTAAATAGAAACTTTCTAAAAATTAGAAAACAGGTGTTGTGAGAGTTCAAGTCACGGGTATGTGAAAAGAGATATGGAAAGCGTGGGATTTCATAGGATGTTTAGTTTGAAGCTGTATACATGAGAAAAGCAAGGATAGCCCCAAAAGAATGAAAAAATGAAGTTAGATTTAAAAATGTTTCTTCAACTGAAAGACTCTTTGTGAGACCTGTATGTTTCCTTGCTGGCTGAGACCTGTATGTTCAGAGGCTCTAGTTATATGTGAGAAGAATTATTACAAATATAGAAATTCAAAAACCATAGGATAATATTTTGGATAAAATTAAACTTAATTTTTAAAAATGTTTCTATCCTCTATGTTCAGGCTACTTAAAAGGCAAATGAAGTTTTCATGTAATAAAGGAAAAATATCATCTGGAATTTTGTGAATGGCACTGTTTGTGACATATTGCAAGGGAAATAGTGTTTTTTTATCCAAGTGACCTTCATTTAGATACTGTATGGTGACCCCTTGCCTTGATTGACTGCTTGCATTTTCTTTCCTTCCTGTCTCTTGTCTTCATTTCCTGGAGTTGGTACCCTTTCCAAGGTTAATTGAGACACTGACCTTTTTTATCTGTGGCTGCTCATTGTAGAACAATGGAATTCTGTAAGCTCAGCTGTGGCAGGCCACCTAGCTTAATAGCTCGGCAAACAGAGAGGGGTGAATTACACCAAGGGCTTAGACCCAAAAACCTTGACCACACAATTCCCGGAAGGCCATCCTAAGGAAAACAGAGGCAGGTATCTGTCGCTATCTCTTATTAGAGATAATCACTTCAAAAGTCAGGTCACTAGATTTTCACTGGCTGAAGAGTTTTGATTTGATATATTAAGGTGTACTATTATTTTCTCTGGGGCAATTGTGTCTTAAGAAACATTCAGGACTATAGAATTGTAGAATAATAGTGCTACAAAAGGCTTACAAGTCACTAATTAGAAAATTATCCATCTGACAATACATTCCAGAGTAATGTCAAAATTACAACAGCAAAAAAAAAAAATACTTCATATATCCTAGTCAAAGCACTATACAAATGTGTAAGCAAATGCTCTGAAATATTCTATAATTTAAAACACGATATTGAAGATAAGCATTCTGTCCTCTCAGAACTATAGTTACCAACTTCTGTTCCCAGTGATCTATGAGACAGGAACTTGGGTATACTCATGGATCTGAAGTTCTAGAAGAACACATACTAGGGAATCTAAGACTGTCACCTTTTTCTAGTGTCAAATATTACTAAGTGGATATTCTGTTCTCTCTGTCTTTGTTTTTTGTTTTGTTTTTGTCCTTCAGGTTCTCTGCCATTCATTCAGATTATTATTTAAACTGAAAAAAATCAAGATCTCTTTTTCTATGCATTTGGAGTTACTTATGTTCTTTTAAAATCAAAACTGTGTACAAAAAAGCGTATGAGAAAACATGACCAAAAGTGGGCCTCATTTTATGTTATAGTTCATTCAATGTCTTTCCATACGATCTGAGAGATGGGAGATGTTTTACAAAAGTCTTAACTTGGAAGTTAGTCTCTTCCAAACATGTAAAGATTGGTAAAATCCCTATATTGGCAATAACAGCAATGTGCTCGCCTCCTTTAGATGCTGACGAATAAATTGGAAAAAGGAGAAGCCTGCTGTGCCCAGCTCTGCGTCAACTGCTTAGCGGTCTTTGAATGCAGCTGTCAGGAAGGCTTTGTGATAGGTTCTGATGGCCGTGGATGTGATGGTAAATTCCTGAACGCTGACATGAAATCCCTGATGTGATGGGAGAGTCAATGGAGGAGAAACTCTTAGGTGGAAGGTTTTGACAGTGGAGAGGTCTGGATTTCTATGTAGCTGTACCGTATCCTATTGTATGAACTTAGGCAGCTCTAACTTTGGTGTGCTATAGGTAAAATGAATAGAGCCACAGTATGAGTGAGCAAAATAGGAAAGTGATGTAAATTTCCTATACAGTGACTGACACAGAGAAACAATTCTACTGAAAGTAGGTATTATTATTATCATATTCATTAGTTCAAAATACCTTTCATCTAATTCAATATATATTTAATATATGATATATAATTTTTTATATTATATACAAATTAGAGTTTCCAGATAGTCAGAACATACTGTTATAGGAATCATCCATAATCAGTTTTACTAGACTCAGATAATTGTTATTGAAAATCAATTTCAACAGTTTTCTAAAATTAGAAAGCAGTAATAAAAGAATTGCAATTTCATGAACAGATATCTATACCAGCATCCTTTGTATACCTAATATGATATAATCAAAATGAGTCATCTTACAGTTTTCTAACTTATAAATATTAGTTTCCTTGCCTTTCATATGATTTTGTGCTTATGTTTTTTAAATTTAATATGAGGAGTTTGAATTAGTAAGTGTGGTAAGTTGACTTTACTTACAACATTAAAAAGAGCACACATTTATCACTGTGATTTACTTACTGAAAAGTCATCTTGAACAGTTAATCTTTAAATTTTCATTTTGTGATGATCATTGTTACTAAATTGAACTTAAATAAAAATTGAACTTCTAAATAAAAATTTTATATTTTTCTCAAAATCAAAGATCAGACTATTGATATCTACCTCAATCCTAGATAAAATGTATAACTTAATGTCTCAGAGAAAATAGTATTTCTTTGAAAAAAAGCAAAACAAAAAAACTGTATTTTGTTCAGGAATACGTGTCCATTTTCATACACATAGCCAAACTTCCTTAACCTTCCAGTAGAGGTAACTGGGCACACAAAGAACACACACAAGTATGACAACTCTATATACTAAACACAATAGGGTATATTACCATTTATAATATTCCACCCAATTAACAGAGCCAGAAAAATTTTTTGAATTTATGCATTATCTGTTCTTTAGCTGATTGAGCCAAAAAAATGATCGTATCACATTAATGTACATACTCTCATGCACACATCTAAAAAGAAAAGTTGTCCAAAATCTAAGGTTAAGCTTAAAAATTTAACTTCATTTTTGAACTTTTAGTGTCTTGTACATATGCGCTAACCAAAGTCTAAAGTGATGCAAGTCGTGAGGTCATGGCTTAGAAGTTTCTCCCTATCTAGAATTTTCCACAATTATTATACAGAACTATCCATAGTCTAAGCATTCCATTGCATATTTGAATTCAAGAGTGAGCATCCTGCAAAATAATGTACTACCTAAAACCATTGAATTTAAGTTTCATATTCTTCATAAACAAGGTTTCAGAAAGCCTTGTTTATGTAGATAAATGCAGTGTGTTTAGAAATACATGATAGACAAATAATTGGCAGGGAATATGCGAGTTTTCTATACAGCCAGCATGTTATTATTGGTTAATAAAAGTCATCAAAAGAACACAAAAAGCAGATACTGTTCAAATCTTCCTGGATGTGGATGAATGTCTGGATATAAGTATAGTCTGTGGTCAAGTATGTATCTATATAGTGGGAACATATGACTATTCTTGTAAAGAAGGCTACGGGATTGCCAGTGACATGAACACTTACCTGTGAAAGTCCCTGAGGAATGTCACCACGCGTCTTCTAAAAGACTTCCCCCCTCCTGTTCTTCAGGAAAGGAGGAGACCTTATCTTTATCCTATCCCTCTCTGTTTACAGACGGAAATCTCCGCGTGCTTTTGCTTTCAGTTACCCCTGCCTCGACTGTTCAGTTCAACCTCTCCTCTCCCTTTCAGCTCTTTCTCTGGGTGTCCTTCTTCTAACCAATACATTGAGACCCAAGTTTTTTCTCTGCGGTTTTAGATGTGATGAACCAGAGCAAGAAGTAGAAGTTGGTAAGTTTCCAGGCTTTCTGTCCCAGCGCCCACCTCGACTGCTTCATTATGTTGCCACCTCTCTGACTTCTTCCTACGAAGACAAACGGGATGAGGAAGAGGAGAGATTTTCAAGAACCCACACAAAGTTGGTGAGTCAAAGAATGTATCTCATTACATTTCTCTCTCCTTATTTTTATTCAATTCATATCTTGTTATAGACAATTTTATTATCAACATAAGCAATTAAAGTTTGCAAGAAAAGTGGGGCAAGAGTCACTGCCTCAGAGCTTCGGATCAAAGCTATCATCTTTGTCTTAGTCCTACACAAGAAAAGGGTGCCATGTATGATGCATATTTCACCTGCATATCAGGGAGAAGAACTGGGGACTCTTAATTTTTCTTATTAAAAATCTCTAATGGAAGTCTCTTACATAATTAAAATTTACTTTAAATTTCCTTCAAGTATAGTTTTCTTCTAGATTTGAAAATATAGAGAACTAATTGTTTATTATGCTATTATGCAAGAAAATACTTTTTAATTTGATCAGTTTTTCTATATAGCCAAGAAACAGAACTCAAGTATCAAATAATTTCAGATGAAAATAAATTAGCACAGCCCCTATCAAAAGTATCTTTGAGCTGGGCATGGTGATCCACACCTATAATTCTACTACTTGGAAATTTGAAGTAAAAGGATCACAAATTTGAGGCCAGCCTTGGCTACATGCTGAGTTCAGGGCTGGCCTGGACCATGTAGAGAAACTGTCCAAAAAAGGAAAATAAAAGAGGATAATGAAATGGAAGAGGAATAGTTGTTTGCCATCACTCTGCACTCTACAGCTACTTTTTTTCCTTCGTAAAACAGAGACTCTTTCTTCTACCTATACTGATTGAAATTTAACAACAGCAAAGCTTACTGATTGCTTTAGGAGGCACTCAGTAAGATAACAGAAATATTTTTATGCTACGATGTGTTTGTCAGTTTTGCATCTCTGTGATGAACCACCTGGAAAACACAATTAAAAGAAGGAAGGATTTATTTGGGCTCATCTTTTTAGAAGTTTCAGTTTGTAAACCATTTGTTCCATGCCTATGCAGCCATGGTGGGGTGAAGAAAATTGCTCACCTCATGGTCGTCAGGAAGCAGAGAGGGAGAAAGAGCCAGAGACTGGAGAGCAGACACAGTCCTTAAGATCCAGTCCCCAGGATTCACTCTCTTTAACTAGGCCTCACTTTTTGCTTCTATCATCTCTTAATAATTCCATCAATTTATGATCTCATTAGTGGCTCAAGTTAGTGGACCTAACTTGATCAGTTAGAGCTCTCATGAACCAACCACCTCTCTGAGGCCCATCTCTGAACACTGCTGTTGAAGATCAAGATCCCACCATATGAGGTTTTTTTGAAACTTGGTATTTAAACTATAACATACTGTTCACTCATTATAACAATAACAATAAATGCTTCTACATAAAGCAAAAATAATTTAATATTCTGAAATGAACTTCTGATACTCTGGCTACTCAGAATCATGCCAAAGCAATCAGAACACCAATCAGTCGGTGAAGTTATAGAATGAGAAATCCAGAGACACGTCTGTTGCCTTTTCCATGCAGGAAGGCTGAATAGGCGGCTGTTAGAAGATGAGGCGCGCGGCGCAGGGGCTCGCTGAACGGTAGCGATGAGATGGAAGGTGGTGCTCGGGGCAGTCAAGGAAAACAGCTCTGGGTAAAAGTGGCAGCTTTTTAATCAAGGCCTACCGAAGGCCTCTTCCTAAAACCGGGAACAGAAGGAGAATGAGCCTAAAATAACTGAATACGGGTCTCTTCAGACTCATTCAGATTAAGAGCACAATAGAGAAATAAATGTATTGTGATCCATATTTTTCGGTGAAACACTGCATGATCATAAAAAATAAACTTATGTACTGGTAGGGATGAGTCCTACCAGTATTATATTGAAAATAGTTTGACACTAAAGAGCATATATTATATATCTCCATTTATGGAAAACAATAAAACGAGGAAAAATTATCAAAATCTATTTTTTTTTCAGAAATCAAAATAGTACTTCTTGGCTATTGACTGAGAATCAAAAATTAACCTTGGAGATTTTGGTGACTGGTTATATTGTCTATTTTGATCTATCTGAGTAATATGTACTTGGATTTCTTACATTATTAAATTTTTTAAAGTATATCCTTGAAATTTACATCTCTCTGCATGTGTATTAAATTTTTAGTATAAAAATATAATTTGAAAAAACTGAGTATAAAAATACCTAGAAAAGAAACTACTGAAATGCTTGGAGTATTGGTGAGTTTTGCACTCTGGAATCACTAGTGATTTTTTTTAACCTTTTTGTTTTTCCTTTTATAAAGACTCTAAATAAAGATGAGATATATCTCAGTGCTACAGGATATGTTTAGCACTTATAAAGCCCAGGTTTCAATTCCCAGGATGAAAAAAAAAAAAAAAAGGAGGAGGACTTTAAATATTTCAATACTATATTGGAAAAATAAAACAAGCTCTATTCTAAACAATATCTTTTTGCTGTTGTGTTTTTCTGGGACTCTAAGACATGCACTCTAGAATAATGGTATTCTTTGGAAAATGAACAGTTTCATGTCCACTTAGTTAAAATGTGTAGACAGTTACGAGCCACCTGAGAAGATAGCACATTCCCCGTTGTTTAGTGGCATCCTTGGAGGAGACTGCAGCTTGTGCTGTGGGGACTGGGTGAAGGAGGCAGCACCAGGGGAGGAGCAGTGGGTGCTCCCGCCCAGCAGGCTGGGGAGCTGCTCTTTGCAATGAAAGGAAGCGATGCCCTGGGAACCTGTACTGACCAGCATGCTACTGATAATGAGTTTTCTTTAATGCATGTTCTCCAAACTGTCTTGGTAAGGTAAACAGTTGATCTGGGGGACAAACCAATGTATTCCTTGTGTATAAAGGATGCCTAAAAATGCTGAGATTTTAAGCTGAACATATGATTAAAGGAGAGATTTTGTATTCTCTGGGAAACTAATGTTCTGTCTCTTGTTTATCTACAAAACGTAAAAGCTAATAAAGGATCGTGATATTGTAGGCCTATAAAATTCTCTCCGTTTAAGTAAATCATCCGGCCCTGGCAGGCTATTCCCGATGAAGAAACAAAGGAAAGGATTTGTGCTACAAAGCGCAGCTGAAGAAAATTGCTTGCCTGTCACTTGATTTTGTGTTTTCTCTTCTCCCTTTTAAAAGTTCAAATATTTTTACACCACTAGTGACACTGGTTTAATTTTTTATACACATGTCATGTGAAATTATCAAAGATTTTCAAACATGATAATATCCCAAATTCTTTTCCTTCATGTTTTAAATGAAGGTTTACTTTCAGATGTTAAAACTGCTTTGTGATAAAATAAATGTATTAATGGTCTTTTCTTTTAAAATTTGACAAGAATTTTTTTAATAAGAAAATGTGCCTTAGGCTTTGTGATTGGTTTAGAAGATGGTTTAAGCAGATTTCCTTTTGGACCTAATTCATGTAAGTAAAAGAGCACAAATATAATTTCTTTTATAAGGTACAAGTGCAAAACTAAGACACAACTTAGTAAAGGTCATAGTTTAGCCAAGCTTACCAGTTGGTTTTGGGAATGTCCCTCAAGCCTCCTTCTGATCATGTTTATCTGCTGCCTTAAAGCTTGAAGAGCAATCTTCTGCACATACGGTGGACACTTCTCAGTATCCATCTAAAATCAAGCTCTTATGAATCCTTTTTGATCTGACCACAGCTCTTTGCCCAGTTTATTATTTCCAGCCAACAAAACCACACACTACTTAATGCTCTGTACTTTTTAGCTTTGTGTCTTTTGTTATATTGCTGTCTTCAAGGATCTTTGCAGCATCCCACATGAAGCTTTGTATGATGAGCCCAGGCAAATACAGCGATTTATCTTTCTGGTGAATTTAAAGCCATTCTTTCTTCTACAGTAGGTCAGCTTGCTCTGCTAGATTGTGAATGTATTGGCCTGGTGCCAATACATAATATTTATTTATTATAAACTACTCCACAATGGAAGTTCACTCACTGCCTGAGCAAACATATGAAACAAGCAAACAGACAAACAAAAAACTTGGGTTTAAGACTCCCAGCTACATTGACCTGTCACTCGACACGCTCAATCCTACAAAATTAGACTTCAATAAACATGATTGCATAATTATTGAAAGAAAGCAAAGTTGCGTTCATAAAAACTTGATTCTTAGCCTCGTAATATGAAACATAAAACATTAACCTCAAAAATGTCAGAAAAAAATATATCCAATACAAAACACTTAACATGGAAATACTAAAAACAAAAAACAATAAAATAAAGACAGTATGGCCTCTGGCAAAGCTTTGGAAATCTCTTAAATGCTCATGTGGTCCTTGAAATGGGGTCTGCATCTCAGAGCAGAAACATGTATCTTCTTTGTACTTCCTATCTTCTTTCATTTCTTCTTACAAAAATTAAAATGAAATGGTTCACATTAACCAGCCAAAGATAAAAATGTCCACTAATTCTTATCAAATAAGAAAATATTTCTTAAAAATTCTTATAAACAATAAATAGTAGCAATCAATCACAAAGTCCCCATATTTTTAAAATATCAGCTTTTAAAATACAATTTAAAAATTTGTAAAATAAATACTCAGCAGGGATCAGGAAAGTAGGTTTTGCAACTAAATTGATCTTCTAGACTATATCTTCAATATCTTTGTTGGACTGTTATAAAAATATCTACTTTTACTGTTTACGAATGTCTTCAATTGAGAAAACAATTTTTAAAATTACATATTATTTGATTTTAATAGTTGTTTTTGAGAACTTCATTTTTCTAAAGAATTTTAATTTGAAATTAGTGGAAAGAGAAGAAAAGAAGAATTTCCTATAACAAGTGAGTGGGCTAGAACATTATGGTTTTCTCTAACTCATCTAGATATGGTTCGGGATATATTTACTTTAAAATTTTCTCTAATGCATCTTTTTGCAAATTGGGACATGTTTGTCTCAAAATGTTTTTCTCCAGGACCTTTGATTTTGTTGTAAGGAAATATTGGTGATGTTCTTTTTTTTTTTAAGGCAAAACAGAAAAAAGGATAAAAATGATACAGAATTTCAGAA